AAGGAGGATGTGTGGAAACTCTTTGCAGAGGATGGCATGGAACCAGTGGAGGTCAATCCACTGGAAGATGAGAAGTCCATGGAGGTCAAGCCACTGGAAGAGCAGGAGGAAGCCATGGAGGTTGATCCAGTTGCAGCAGACCTAGCTGGGTACTGCAACACTGATGCCAGGCTATGCTTGAAGACGGGAGCCCATTGTGCTGAGAGGGTCTGGCCCCACCCAAGACGCTATGGGTATGGGCCCAGCTCCTCACCAGTGGCCAGGTATGCGGCGGGGGGGGGGGCGGGGGCGGAGGGCATTTTTGCACGTGACTCCCTGCCATCAATCAAGCAATCCATCAATTAATCTCCATCCACCCATCCATCAATCTCCCTTGAAACATGGTGGAGCTTCAAGTGCTAGTTGGGCTCTTCCTCCCCGCCCTGCACTGCCCTGCCCCCAGATATTCACAGAGCATCTCCCTTGCCCTTTCCAGCATGCAGGTAGCATGGCAGCGCTGCGAGGAAGTCACACTACAGAGACTGTCCGCGGCAAATACGCACCCTGTGCTGGGCACATCTCTCACCAGCCGAGTTTGCAGAAGACAGAGGATCAAAGCATTCCCGAGATCTCTCCTCCTCAGATAAACCTGTTCTAACCTTGGCCTTGTGAGACCTTCTGGGCCACACTAGGGGGATTGCTGGAACAGGAGGGCGCAACACTTTGTCGAGGTCTAGCACACAAGACCAGGTCAGCACCTGGAGCTTTTGAAACTGCCTCTCTCTTCTTAATACCAGCTCAGTCACTCACAGCCAGGTTAGAATCACTGACTCATAGATTCATGGAACGGTTTGGGTTGGAAGGGACATTCAAAGGTCATCTAGTGCAATCCCCTGCCATGAGCAGGGACATCTTCAACTAGAGTAGGGTGCTCAGAGCCCTGTCCAACCTGACCTGGAATGTTTCCAGGGATGGGGCATCTATCACCTCTCTGGACAACCTGGGCCAGGGTTTCACCACTCTCATTGTGAAAAATTTCTTCCCGGTATCTGGTCTAAATCTGCCCTCTTTTAGTTTAAAACCATCACCCCTTGTCCTGTTGCTACAGGCCGTCCTAAAGAGTCTGTCCTCTGGTTCTCCAGAGCCATGAGACACGGCACAAAGCTTTGTGTCAATCCCTACGCAAACCAGCCCAAGGGGTTCAGGGAAGCATCAGTGGTATTTCAGACATGTAGTTCTTCAAACACTCCCTTCCCCCCAAATCCCAAACCAGCATTGCCAATACAGATTCTGCGTGCCCCTGGGGTGCACAGCCAACCTGCGACAGGTCTGCCAAGGGGAAGCCTTTTCCTAACGTGCCACACAGCAGCTCGGTGTGAGTCTCCACCTCTCCGACCTGCTCCGGTCACTCAGGCTGCAGGGAAAACCCTCCCCTGCTGCCCCATCCCCTGCTTCAGCATGAGCACAAGGAGCATTGTGGTGTGGGGCTGCCCAGAGCCCAGGCTTGGCACTCGCGAAACAAGACTGGGACCAGAAGCTGTGCCCGGGCTCATAGCTACTCCTTTATTATAAATCATGCCGTTACGTCGCTCCTCCTCAGAGTTAGTATGTTAAACATTTTTCATTATATGTATATCTATATAAAAAGGTGAAAACACCCACTCCCCTCACCAACATATCAGAACGGAGCATGGCACCAGGAAGGAAGAGAAATGAAGGCCCGCTCGACAGCCAAACGGGATTTGCTGAGCACCAGAGAAGCTGCGATTGGCTGATGAGCAGGTAAAAATACAGATGGTAGAGTAACACATGAGGGCTGGCAGGGCAGAGAGGTCTGCTCTGGGGAAAGAGGGCTGTCCACCTCCCTGCACCCTACGGATGACCCCCAAGGGGAAGAGAACATGGCTTTGGACAAGTTTTCCCATCTCTGTGATGCAAAAGGCCCGAAAATAGTAATACCAGTAACGGTACAAAAACCACATGCTTTGTAGATTGAAAATTCAGGTCTCCTCCACAGGCTCGGGTGGCCCATGGAGAAGTCGTGTGTCGGCCCAGATTTGGCCAGGAGGTGACCTGGAGGAATTCTAAGCCTGCTCTTTTCCCATGACTGGCGCTCTCCTGGGGCAGAGGAGCGGGTGGCACTGGGACCAGCACCCTGAAGCCACAGTGGCATGTGACAAGGCTGTCTTTGGAGGCAAAGCACCTTTTGGAGGCCAAGCACCTTTCAGAGGCAAAGCACCTTTGGAAGTAAAGCACCTTTGGAGGCAAAGCAGCTGTGGAGGCCATGTGGCGTTCACTGGGGAGAGCCCTGCCGAGAGCAGGCAGACTGGTCCCAAGTCACGGCTCGGCAATGGGGATGCTGTGACCAAGACAGTTCTTGTCCTGCATCCTCCTTTGCTTTCCTTCCTGCAGCCTGGCATGTCCTTGATGCCCGTTAAGTGACTGCAACCCCGAGCACACCTCGGCCCTGAACTCAGCTTGCGCTTCGAGGTATCTCTGCAATAAAAAATGGTCATAATAGTGACAAGGGCTTTAAGGAAAAATAGGGGGACACTCCCATCAAAGTAGGTTGTTATGAGAATTTGAATCACCCCCTCTCCCAGTTAAACTGGTGTCACCGCTCTGCTCACTGAGTCACCTGCTCTTTGTCTCCTGCTGCATGACCCAAGGTGACAGGATGCAAAGCAAGGAAACAAAATTCCTGCTCCAACCCCACTCCCCACAGCAGCTCATCTTCACCCATCGCCCAGAAGCCACAAGCCACGCTTGTCACACGCGGCACCTGAAACCTCCTCCCTGTCTCCCCTGGGATCCCCGAGGGAAAGGCAGAAGCCCCCAGTTCGCTCAGCCTCCCCGAGGATGCCCCACTGCAGACCGCGATGCCCCGTGAAGCCCTCAGGACACTGGCGCAGAACGGGATGAGGCAGGAGCGGGGAGAGTGGTGCCGTTTCGGTGGCTGCCTTGGCGCCTGCAGGACCTGGGTCCACTACTAATAAATAACAATGTCAGAATTTCAAGTCATGTCCCTGCTGCTGCGCTCTGCCCAGCTTCTCCCTCTCACACCACTCATCGACCGGCTCCTGTCACACTGGGCCGTGGTGGTGTCTGCAGCGGCTGGCAGTGGTTTAACTGGGAACCTGCGATTGTGAAGCTTGGGGGCGAAGGGTACATGTCTTTGGGGACGCGTTTGGGTGACGCCAGCTCCCACTGGAAGCACGACCAGTGTCTGTGTTGGACCCAGGGGAGATTCCCAGGGCAGCGAGGAAGGGCATGGCTCTGTGGCCCTTCGGCGTAGCTTTTGCCTTCCAGTTTTCCCGCGGGGGTCACTCGGTGTCCCTAGTGCCCCTGGCATGTTTTACAGCACATCTGTCGGAAGTAGGTCCGGCTGCAGAACTTGAACTTCAGGACGAGTGGGCAGTAGGCCACCTTGTTCACATCCTTGCACTCTGGATGGGTGACAGAGGGAAGGAGAGTTACAGCTGCCTCGGGGGCGAGGAGTAATACGAGCTCTTTTTGCACCCCACTGCCCAGCTCCTGGGGGCTTTTTGCCAGGAAGCAGCAAGATGCAGCCATGCTGAAGAAGCTACTGAGAACCTCACTAATGAAAGCCTCTCTTTGCCAAGGTGCAGATACTTCATTTATCAGGGTCATGGCATGCCAGTTTGGCCTGGGGCCAGACGGGACAGCACCAGGTCTCCCCATGAGAGCCTTACCCCACAGCACAGCACCTAGAGCCCAACTCGGACTGTGCTGGCTCTGGTGCCCCTGTAGCACATAGCCCCCAAGACTGGCAATGCAATCCCTCACCAGTCCCCCACCTCTCTCACCTTCAGGGTTGTCCGTAGGTCCCGACTCGCACTTGGTCTCGCACTGCTGCATGTTGGGCGGCTGCAGGGTCTCCACGCAGTCGCTGGACGGCTGCCCGGTGTGAGCCAGGCACTGGACGGATCTTCTTTGCTGGCCAAGGCCACACTGCGCAGAGCACTGCCGGGAAACAGCACAGCACAGAGCTTCGCCGCCACAGCTTTAATAACGTGGGGGGAGAGGGTACAGCCAGGTCTTAGGAGGTGCAAAGAGTGGATGCAGTCATCCCTTCCCTCACCAGCAGCTGCAGGGACCCCACTGGCACGGCTGAGTGTTGCGGCCCTGCTTCTCAAAAAGCTTGGTTCAAACCTCTGGGACTCAGCAAGGGTCTCTCCATCCAGCCCTAAATCACCCGCCTTTCCCAGGCCTCCTGTACCCTGATGTTACCCTGCAGGTCGAGGGGTGTTAGAGGGAAGGGAGTACTGTCAGCATTGCCCTGCTGCAGGTGCCAGGCTGGGCGGTGGCAGGTGGCCCAGAAGTGGCCCCGCTCGCCGCCCGCCCAGCCCACCTCTGCAGCCCATTGCTCCCACTGCACTGCTCGCCATGCTCACTGCCCTGCTGCCCCCCAGATACCTGTGGGGGCCCTCCAATGACTTCTGTGGGGCCCTGCTAGGCCCGGGAGACTCCCTGGGTCAGCTGTGTGCTTGGGCCACCATCACCATGGCCTCCTGAGCCAAAGTGGGGCAAAGAACACCCCACGGAGTCCTGCTGCCCCCCAGATAGTTGTGGTGGCCCCACTGGGTTCTGCTGGCAGGTAAAAGCCTCAAGTGCACTAGGATTTGAGGTGCTGGGCAGGCAGAACCTTCTTCAATAACCCCATGGAAAGGATTGTCCCTACCTCTCCCCACTCGCCAGTCACCCAGCGTGGCGGTGGGCAGCGCCGCAGGTTGCACCTCATACTGGTCGGGGGTTTGGAGCCTTCGTAGCACTGGGAGGTGGGCAGAGTTGCACTGTGGTCACCACTCTTGCAGAGGACAATGCGGTGGCGGAAACCTGGCCCACAGCTTGGGGTGCACTGCAAAGAGAAGACATACGCGGTCAGGATGTACAGCAAAGAGCAGAGAGAGGCAGCACTGGCTCTCCCCACCAGTGCTCCCACCTTGCCTGTCTCCTGAGCTACAAGACCATTTCCCACATTATGCTCTCCAGGGCCAGTGGCCATCACCGATGCTCTGACCTAGTGACTGACACTGTCCTCCTAAGGATCAGCACCACCAGAGAGGTGAGGGCTGATGTTAAGCACTTACTTCAGACCAGTCCAGGGCGACCCACTCTGGAGGGCATGTCTGGTTATTGCAAGGCTCAAGCATCTTTGGCCGTGGATGGGTGCAAGAAGCATCATCCAAGGTCTTCTCCTCAGTGGCAGAGATCTTGCGCTTGCAGAAGACGCTGCGTGTGTGGACGCCTTCATTGCAACTTCGGCTGCATTCAGACCAGTTCCCAATCACCCACCTGGAGACATGTAAAACAGCAAAGCTTGCAAGGGGCACGGTGGTCCATGCTTGTCCCCATACTCCTGTACACAGCCCTATTCCTACTCTGGCCACAGCTTCCCAGGCAGCTCTGGCTGAACCACACAGTTCCTCCACATCTCCCTTTCCCCTTCAAGAGGGAGCAAGGGCCAGCCAGGGAGGGGCTGGCACAGTTTCTGAAGGACTGCACTGAGTATCTGCTCTGCACCAAAGGACCAGATGGGGAGGGCTCCTTTCTGCCAGCAACCCAGCAGCACAGGGAAGGGGTCACACTACAGAGACCATCCTGAGTCAACACACCATGGGCTCAGCACATCTCTCACCGAGCAAGACACGGTGTAGCTTTGTGCACAGAGCATCATGGTAGAGACAGGTTTCTGCTCCCTGCATCACCACTGCCCCTTCCCGCAGTGATGCACATGAGCTGTGCAGGCTGCGCACTGTATTGTGCTCATGATGGGGCACAGAGGAGAAAACTGTCTTCCTTCCCCAGCAGAGCTGCTCCAGCCAGGTAGTGTCACCCCTGGGCACTGTGGCAGGGGACTCTGACTTGGGAACGGCAGAGAGGGGGGAATTTCACCCTCCTCCACACTGGCTTTTTACACCCACACTCCCTTGATCTGCTCCAAGCTGTGGTACTCACGCTGGGGGGCATGGTTCAGTATTGCATGGTCTCTGACGCTCTGGCATTTTGGTTTCAGGGCTACAGAAATGGTTGAAGACAGTTGAGCCATCAGAAAGTTTCTTGCATACCACAGATTGGATCTGGCTGCCTGCCAAGAAAAAGAGGCAAGGGGGAAAGAGAGGAGGATCCTGAGGCCAGCGCTCAGCCAGGCTGCAGGTACGAGCCCCACAGCTCTGCTCCAACATGGGCAATGTGGGGGGCCAGCCACATGTCACTGCGCCTCACAAAGCCTGAACCTACTTCTCTATTCGTAATCAAGGCCTCCTTTGCCTCTAACATCTCCAGAAAATAAATGGATGCGGTGAATACACACTAGCCAGGGCAGGACCCAGCTGAGTCTGTAGAGGATGGAGGATCAAAGCGTTCCAAAGATCCCATCCTCCAATAAACCTGTTCTAAACTTGGCCTTGTGAGACCTTCTGGGCCACACTGGGGGGATTGCTGGAACAGGAAGGCGCAACACTTTGTTGAGGTCTAGCACACAAGACCAGGTCAGCACCTGGAGCTTTTGAAACTGCCTCTCTCTTCTTAATACCAGCTCAGTCACTCACAGCCAGGTTAGAATCACTGACTCATAGATTCATGGAACGGTTTGGGTTGGAAGGGACATTCAAAGGTCATCTAGTGTAATCCCCTGCCATGAGCAGGGACATCTTCAACTAGAGTAGGGTGCTCAGAGCCCTGTCCAACCTGACCTGGAATGTTTCCAGGGATGGGGCATCTATCACCTCTCTGGACAACCTGGGCCAGGGTTTCACCACTCTCATTGTGAAAAATTTCTTCCCGATATCTGGTCTAAATCTGCCCTCTTTTAGTTTAAAACCATCACCCCTTGTCCTGTTGCTACAGGCCGTCCTAAAGAGTCTGTCCTCTGGTTCTCCAGAGCCATGAGACACGGCACAAAGCTTTGTGTCAATCCCCACGGGAACCAGCCCAAGGGGTTCAGGGAAGCATCAGCGGTATTTCAGTTCACAGACATGTAGATTTGAAGGCCGGAGGGGCTGCTGCAATTGGCTAACCTGTCCTGCATTACACAAGTAAATGAATTTCAAGGATATCATTCCACCTTCCATCACCTCTACCACCTACACCTGCGGTTGAGCCAGGGAATGGCATCCAGGTTGTTTGCCCTGACACTGCCCATAAGGTCATACTGACTGACACCAGCTTGCCTGTGGCTGAGTGCAGGGTGGGAATACGTAGTAACCTGAGAGCTCCTTTAGAGAGCAAAGCAGGTGCTAACATCTGTGCGCTGTCTCATGTGGCCCAGACACAGTGCGTGGGAGTCACAGGAATGCAGACACATGTCCCCCCTCCAGCCAACATGGGGTCAAACCTCACCCCCTGCACACAGCACTGAGCATTTGGTCCACGGGGTGTAGTGCCAGGAATACTGGTTTGAGGCATCCCTGCCGATGGGTGCGTTGAACTTGTACCGGATCCCCTGCAGCTCTGTCCGCACAAGGACCTGAGGAGAAAGGCACCACCGAGGCATCAGTGCCACCGAAGTCCAGCATGGTCGTGACCGTCCGGATGGCGTCCCATGACCTCAGCACGCTCTCTAAAATCCAGGGCAGCTGAAATATCCCCCTCTTCCCTTTCCAGTCCCTCCAGCATTGACATGGCAGCCACCAGTGATGACAGTGGTGCAGCCATGAAGGTGACACCATCAGAGAACAAGCTCCCATGCACTTAAAGATTGAATTGTTCCAAAGCCTGCCAGATTAGGGAGGGAGACCTGAGAATTTAGCTCAGTTTACTCTGATCTCTGTGCTGCTTTACTCCAGACATCAAGGACAGGGGCTGATTAGCTCCATTTCCCATGTAGTCATGGCAAGGTCTCTTTAGACCAGATCAGGAAGGGGTATGAAGGAACCATGTATACCAACCATGACAAAGAGGGTGATGTTGGTGGGTCCCAAGGCCTCCAGGGACTCAGGCTCCTCTGGGGATCTCCTGTAGTGGAATGTTGTGCCCGCGATGTCAAAGCGCCGTGGGGGATCGATGGAGAGCTTCCCGTTGATGTAGTACTCACCGCTCTCCCCTCTCAGCGCTGCAAGGACAGGGGAGCAAGGGTTAGCAGAAAGGCTGAACGCACCATTATCCAGCTTCGGCCAAGCGCTTCTCATTTGCCAGGCTCAGAGCACCGCTATAATGGAGGGTAAACCTCACCAGCCTCGTTTTACAGGGAGGGAACAGGTGGGGCAAATAAAGTAGGTGCCTGGGTCAGGGTCACAGAAAGTCACTAGCAGAGGTGGGACTAATGTACCCACTGTCTTGTCTCAGCCTGCCTGCCACCTCACCGTGGCAGGAGGATGCTGCAGGGTGCTCAGCCAGCTGCCCAGGGTGGTGATGGGGACACTTGGCAGTGTGACAAGCTGTGGCCATGAAGCCAGGCTCAAATCCAGCTGAGCAAATTGGGTCTTGGCTGCTGGGGCTACTGGAAGAGGCGGGTCCCCAGGAGCCTGGCTGTGGTTGCCCAAGCAAGTCGCTAGAGGGGGATCGGCTCGCTTGCTTGTTCCCACTCGCATTCCCACGCTCTCCCTGCTCGCTCTCTGCCACCGACACTGCGCTGGCACCTAGCGCTGCATCGCTCCTGCCCTCACTGCTGGCAACAACCTCATTGCCATGATGCTTTGGGGTGGAGAGGACAACGAGGATGGAGGATGTTCCCTCCACTCCCACTGTGGTGCAGGGAGCAGGAGGGACTGGTGGCAGCAGTGATACGAGCTTGGGCTGTGCTGCCAGTGCACAGAAATCCAGTCTGGATGGACACGAGGAGTCCCCAATACAGGTGGGCTGGGCAGGGAGGGGTGTTGGCATCTCTGAACCCAGCAAAGGGAGCTGGCCTGGAGGGATGCTGCGGAGAGCCCCGCTGCGACCTCCCACTGCTGCCGGCATCCAGGCAGGCTCCTGCTCCTAGAGAGCCGCTGTGGAGGCACCCGGCAGCAAGCCAGCAGCAAGCACTGCTGCCCACCCCTCTGCCCATCGCTTGGAAGACAGAAAGAGAAGACAAGGGGAAAGAAATAAGCCCGTTGTAAAAACAAGCCACAGCCTGGCTGGAAAATTAAGCCCAAGGAAAATGTGAGCAGGTCTATTTTTAATCCCCAGCCCAACATGCTGGCGGAGGGGGGGATGCCAAGGAGCCACAGCCAGCGCCAGGAACAGCGGGGTGTGGGGTTTGCTCAGGGTTATGCTGATGAACAGTGAGCGCAGGATGGAGGCAGTGCCACAGCAAGAGAGGGACTGTGTGGGCCACACTGATACAACCCACGCTGGCCTGGGACATGGCTGCTCTGCCAGCAGGCCCGGCTGCCTTCCTCTGCCCCCAATCCCAAGCTGGGACCCACAACCTCATCCTCTGCTGCAGTGGGAGATTTTCCTTGCTGGGCCTTTCCCACGCCCTGTTAACCGCGGGGAAATGGCAGACCAAGGGGTGTCTGGCTGGGATTTTAGTATCCCCCAGCCCCATCTCACCTAGGTAGTTGATGGAGAGGTTCAGCTCCCGGATGTCGATGTGGACGGAGCCCTTGGGAATCTGGATCACCTCCTCGTAACCTGTGAGACATCCCAGGGCCAGTAAGCAGTGATGCTCAGCCTCCGAGCCCGGAGCCAACCCTGCCCTGGGCTGGATGGGTGTGTGCTACCCTGTTCCCCATGTGTTAAACACTAAATGACATGCTGTCAGTGCAGAGGTGTTCGTTCAGCCACCTGCTGCAATTAAATGGAAAAAACACTACGGCTTGCCAGGACAGTGGCTTGCTTGCTTTGCAGTGTGGGCTCTCGTGACGTGACCAGCCATGCTGGCGAGGTGCTGTGGAGCTGCGATCTCCATGGGCATCTCCATAGCCTGGCTCGAGGTCAACGTAAGCTGGGGAGAAGGGAAGGAGCTTGGCACTCTGTATCAGGGACTTGGGTGCCAATGGTGACTGGGGCACGGCTTGGTTGGTGAACAGGAGTGATTTGCTCCCTGCTTGCAGCCTGGTCCTACCCTTTGGGGTGCTTCGTATGTCCCTGCCTGTCCTGTGCGTCCCAGGAGCAGGTGAAGTCGAGAAGGGACTTGTGGGTGGGTTCACTGGCTGCGCTGGCCAGGCCGCTTGCTCCCTACCTCCCTCCGGCAGGGACTGGTTGAAGATGCCCTCAATGGTCTCGCAGGAGCTGCCGTCTCCCCCACACACACGACACTTGTCCTCCTTTGAGTCAGAGCCCAGGACACGGTCACAGCCTACATGCTGGAGGAAGGAGCAGCAGGGAATTAGCCATCCTGGCGGGGCCTTGTCCTCCCCACAGCTGCCCTGCAGCATCCCAGGGAGCCCAGCCCTGGGCCCCGCCTCACTTCCCCCCCACTGCACTGTACACCAGGCAGTGCTCAGCAACACCACTCTGCCCAACCCCATCTTTCTGCCACCCCCTTCCAGGGACAGCCCTGGGGGGTCTGTCCAAGGCTGGGGGGGCACAAGCAGGGCCCAGGGCTCTGCAGGATAAGGCAGAAGTACGGGTTTCTGTGTTGAGCCGGGGGAGCTTCAGCAGCCCGGGGAGAGATGTGTCCTCGCTGCACCAGCATCGTGGTAGCGAGGCCACGTGAAACCTCCAGCTCTGCCCCGCTGCCACAGTACCTGGGCTAGCAAGTGGGTCACCACCACCACTGTGACTACCTATGGTGAAATCCCCCTTTTGTTCCACAGTATATTCAGCCCCATAGAGGCAAAAAGGTCCCAGAGACACAGGAAGGGAGACAGACAGAGAGGGAGCTTGTCTGCCTGCCCACTGGGGGACATTCACCACTCCCAGAGTGCTTTCCTATAATTAAACTTTTATAGCCCTCCAGATCCCATTTCTAGGGGAATATCAAGTGCCTGGGGCCACATGGGCTGTACATGCACAGACCCATTGCCAGTGCAGGCCAGTGTGGCACCTGGTGCACGGAGAGCAGACAGGCACGAGCCCAGAGGCTGACGTGCTCCTGCTCTCACAGGTGAACTGGGTGCCCAGGCAGAGGGATGCCCGTGTCCGTGGGGGCAGGTGGAGGACAGCACTCCCCTGCCCAGGCATTTCCCCTTGCCTCCCCATCCCCAGCCTGTCCCAGAGCCCAGCAGCACCTTGCACTCCCCGTTGACACAGATGTCGTTGGAGTCCTGCCGGCACGGTGTCCCGTCCACCACGGCTGCAGCCCGTTCTGTGTAGAAGTTGAAGCCCTCAGCCAGGCAGTTGAGGGAACAGGCTTTCACACCCCCTGGGAAAGAAGCAAAAGCTCCAATGATGCCACCAAGAAGAGAGAGGAAAGACGTGGAGAGCCAGACCTGCTGCCTTACCCTCAGTCTCCCCACACCATCCTGCACCTGGCCCGCTGCACAGCTCCAGGTGTCCAGGAGGATGTCCCTGCTGAGCGGAGGGACCCAGAGAGACCCAGCCACCCTCCTTATTGATCAGCACTGAGTCAAGACCCTTGAACCGGACACAGGCGCATGGTGAGACACTCCCTTCTGCACAGCCTGGGAAACATGGGCTGTATGTGATGGGGAAATAAACCACCTGACTTGTTCTTATTTAGTGTTGGTCACTTTTGGGCTGTCAACAAGCTTATTTTACAGCTAAGGAAACTGAGGCAGCAGCTCTTAAGTGACTTTCAGCTACTAGACCAGGGCAACCAAGATTTTCAGCTTTTAGACCAGTTACTAGGTCAGAGCAACCATTTCTTTCTGTTCAAGGCTGGTGGATACTGAGTCCTTCACAGCAAAGATGACGACAGCAGCACGAGGACAAAGAGGAAGGATGCCCAAGTTATAGCTAAAATACCCGCTTCCCAACACCCCTTGCAAGAGCACCATCTAAGGAACACAGGCTGGATATCTGGATATCGGCTTATGGAGCCTGGGAGCAGGGCGTGGGGACTGGTTATGGAAGGAGACACCTGAGCAGAGCAGTTTCTTGCCACCTGTTACTGGATTTTATTAAATGCTGGTGCAGATCGCAGCATTTGCTGCCTTTACTGAGCATCCCAAGGAGACCCAACAGCCTGCATGACCCTGGCAGAGAGAGGTATGCCTGAGCTGTGGCAGTTCACTCCTGCAGGCACCAGCAACAGTCGGGAGCCGTGTGCCAGAGCTGGGAAGCACCTCAGCGGGGAGCAACTGAAATGTGCAAAACTTGCAACTTGATACAGCACATCAAAGCGGCAGAGGGAGGGGAGGGGTGGCCCAGCGGTGCCTGGGAGCAACCCAACGCAGCTGGGGGGAAGAAAGAGCAAAGTCAGGAGAGGGAGGAACAGAAGGAGACAGGAGAGGGGAATTCAGCAGCTTGGAGGCATGCTGTCAAGCAGGATGCCTGGGCAAGTCCCTAGAGAAGGCACTCGATCAACCCTCCTTCTGAAGAGCCATCCCCTTCCACAGCACCCCGGGCTCTCCCCTGCCTGACGGTGGAGCTCCAGGGCCACCGAGGGGGACAGCGCAGGCATGACAGCCATCGAGGCATGGCATGCCTGGACCCCAGGTCTGTCCAGCCAGACCTCAGGCGCAAAACATCACCAGCGAGGTAAGAAAACATGAGTCACGAGGGACCTAAGCTGGCTGTGGGATCCCCCAGCTTGGAGAGGCCATGCCACCAAGCCCAACCAGCAAAAGCACACCCCACGCATGCAACTGTCCCACCAACCTGGGAGGGGCTTGTGCTGGCCCTTCCTGAGATGTACCCATGATCTAGCCAGTTCTTGCTGGCTCG